CTTAAATCAGGTTGCTGGACTGTTAGTCAATTTATTAGTCTATTGGTCAGATCCAGTTGGGGTTTTCTGATCTTTAATTCTAGCAAGGTGCTTCGGAAAACTCTCCATAGAGAACTTGGCAGGAAGAAAAGCTTCCTCCACAGGTATATGTGGATATTGGCATTTGGGGGGCACAAATGGAATTGAAAATAGTGGAAAGAAATTCCCCAAATAATTGCATGTAATTTCAGCAGTCAATGAACTCTTCTTTTGATTCTCTTAAACAATAAAAAATAATTTCTTAGTTTTAGCAGCTTTATTTTATGGACATACTTGGAATATTTGATAGGAGATTATTTTTTCCCAAGGTTTAGTTGAATGGAGAATATACTGTGCAAGCTCAGTTACCATAAAAAACCCCAAACTCCTTTTTTTGAGGGACAGGTAAAAGAACTATCACTTGAAATCAGAGGACCTTGGGTAAGAGACCTGTACTGTAGATCTGGCTGTACAATGGGGTATTAAATATAGTTTTTATTTAGAGTTTTTACAGTTGTAAGAACTGACAAACTAAAGTAGAACAAGAAAGAGTCGGAGAATAAAATAAAAAGTGCAAAAAAATGGAAGGAAAGTAAAAAAAGGATATTAAAAAGATATAAGAAGTGGCTTCTGATCTTCATAGCAGTTATAGTACATTTTATATTTTAACCTCTAAATTACATCATGACTCTTTCCTTTCTATAGTCTGTTCTGTCTAATGATCAAAACATAAACGACAAGTTCGGGTTTTTTTTTTCTTTTTTGCACAGAAAATTGTATAAGTAGTTTCCTGAAAATTCATTCCTAAATGGCCATATATCTCCCAGGTTAAAATTTCTCCATCATACATGAAGAGCCCCTGCATCCATTACTATGCCTGGGTTGTGGTGGAATATGTGTGTAGTGGAGAACCAGTGGTTAAGGTGCTGGCCTATAAACCAGGAGACTGAGTTCTAGTCCATGACGGCCGTGGCCAGGGGGACTTTTTATCAGGTCCGCCTGATTCGCCAGTTGCGTCCCTTTCTGGATCGGGACTCGTTAAATACGGTCACTCATGCTCTCGTTACTTCCCGCTTGGACTACTGCAATGCTCTCTACATGGGGCTCCCCTTGACGAGCACCCGGAGGCTCCAGCTGGTCCAGAATGCGGCCGCGCGGGTGGTTATGGGAGCGACGTGGTGCTCCCATGTGACCCCCCTCCTGCGTGAGCTGCACTGGCTCCCGGTGGTCTTCCGGGTGCGCTTCAAGGTTTTGGTTACCACCTTTAGAGCGCTCCATGGCATCGGACCGGGGTATCTACGAGACCGCCTTCTGCTACCAATAGCCTCTCACCGACCAGTACGCTCCCATAGAGAGGGGCTCCTCAGGGTGCCGTCGGCCAAACAGTGTCGACTGGCGGCCCCCAGGGGGAGAGCCTTCTCTGTGGGGGCACCTACCATCTGGAACGAGCTCCCCCCAGAGATACGGAAGATCCCGGACCTGTGCACGTTTCTCCGTGCTCTCAAAACTTTTCTATTTCAGCAAGCTGGCCTGGCCTAACTCCCATCTTTTAAATTTTTTAATTTTTTAATTCGTGATTTTACAAATTGGGTGTTTTAATCTGTGTTTCGGCCGAAATATTTAATAATTTTAAGGGATTTTTTTAATATTTGTATTATCTGTATTTTATCTTGGCTGTTCACCGCCCTGAGTCCTTCAGGAGTAGGGCGGTATAGAAATTTGATTAATAAATAAATAATAAATAAATAGTCCTGTCTTAGCCATAAAAGCCATCTGGGTAATTTTGGGCCAATTACTTTATCTTGGCCCACCTCACAGAGTTATTGTTGTGAGGAAATTAGAGTAAATTCACTGCGTTCAGTTACTGATAATAAAGGCAGGATAAGAAAAAAAAATCAAAATATTCCTATGTTTTGATAACCTTTCAAACGTTCTTAGGCCGAAAGAAATGCTTTTCTAGCTAAAGCTGCATATCAGGGTTTTTTTCTTTAATTACAAAATTTGTCTCTCGTCAGCGGGGGTCAGCAGGATGAGCCGGCCATCTGTGTGGTATTTCATTGCTGTCTCCCAGTGATCTGACTGTGATAATGTGGTGTGATACACAACCTGCTTTCCAAAAGAGGCTGTAGTTCATAACACAGCAGGTCTTGCCAAAATATATAACTGGAGGCCATAGGCAGCCAACCCTGGCTTTGAACAAAATGAATTAACATTGTCTAATGAATTGAAATGCATATCAAAGACCAGATTCGGCAACTAATGCACTTTCTCATTTAATTTAACGTGATGCTTGGCATCTTGGACTCTGTGACCGAATGCATTAGTACAGCAACATTTAATATTTTTGAATTTTAAACCCTGCATCAGTCTTTGGTTTGATGTAGTCGAGGAAATACTGGCTTTTGTAGACAAATGAAAAATCCCATGCTATCTCTAAGAAAACAGCTGGTTTTTGAGAGAAGATGCCTGAAATTAATTTGGATTTTGCAGTCTCCTAGCTAGCTTTTGTTTACCCTTTTGAACTTCAAGAAAGTGATTGCATTATAATCCTAATTCTGGGAGGGAGGGAGGGAGGGAGGGAGATAGATAGATAGATGACGGACAGACAGACAGACAGACAGACAGACAAATCTTAAACACCAATATCCAAGAATTAGGGTCATAATGCAATCACTTTCATAAAGTTCAACAGGCTGAACAAACGCTAGCTGGGAGACTGCAAAATTCAAATTATAGCGTGGGATATATTTATTTATTGCTTGGTTAAGGTCTTGGCCTGGTATTAGAGACACAGACCCAAATTGTAGTCTGCCCCCGAGCACAGAAACTCACTTTGCGTCGATCTCTCTCTCTCAGCCCAATGTAAAAATAGGAGAAAATGGTAGGTACATCACCTTGAGTCCTTAATCAAAAGGCAGGATATAAATCTAATATATAAAATAAGATGTGACTATGTAAATGAGGGGAAAACCCCCCTGCATTTATGTACATTAGAAAGTTGTCGCATTTTGTATTTCCTTTGATTCAGAAAGTGCTATTTTATGAAACTCAAATTTTATTCAGTTTGGATTTTTTAGATTCTTATGATTGTCAAGCACTGTTTCCAAGAGTATGGACAATGACTGCAAAAGATCAAAAACCAGAATAGTCCCTGTCATGGTGAGGTCAATATTGCTCTGCATAGTTCATACCATGCCCCATAACTGACAGATTTCCTTACATTGGGCAGAATTGTGCAAATTATACTTATTTATACTGTACGGGTTTTATTGAGAACACGAAATTTGTACCATCCAAAGCACAGAATGTAAATGTCAGCAAAGGTTTCCACATTTGATTCGTAAAAGGGAAGAACAGCATCTTGGAGATTATTATTTTTTTTTTGTTCCTTCGAAATTTTTGCAAATTTTCCCCCCCCCCCCCCCCCCCGGGTACTCCTGAGCCTAAACATTATTGGCTGGATAGCTCATGTTAGTATGAGAATTTCTGCATCCTAGACTCCAATCCCAGATATCCAAAGCTGCAGTTTGGCCTTTGTTGACATGTTAAGAGTATTTAGATGTCAAAAGTACTACGGCAGTAGAATCCACAGCTGGGTGAATTATTGTCATGGCTTATACTTATAGCCTAATGTTGACATATAGCGCAGCCACCTTTATACAAGTAGTCCTCGACTTACAACAGTTCATTTAATGACTTTTCAAAGTTACAATGGCACTGAAAAAAGTGATTTATGACTGTTTTTCACACTTATGATGTTGCAGCATCCCCATGGTCACATGATCAAAATTCAGATCCTTGGCAACTGACTCGTACTTATGACGGTTGCATTGTCCCAGGGTTATGTGATCACCTTTTACAATCTTCTGGCAAGCAAAGTCAATGGGGAGGCCAGATTCACTTAGCAACTGTGTTACTAACTGAACAACTGTGGCAAAAAGGTCATAAAATGAAGCAAAACTCACCTAACAACTGTCTCACTTAGCCACAGAAATCTTGGGCTCCACTGTGGTTGTAAGTCGAGGACTGCCTGTATCTAACATGTCTTCTTAGCCAAGAAATGCTTCTGCCACCTATTTGTGTTCTAGTTGTTCATCATCTTGTAGGAATACATCCAATCTACTGTATTTTTTGGAGTATAAGATGCATTTCCCCCCTCCCCCTAAAAAAGGGTGAAAATTTGGGTGCGTCTTATACACCAAATGTAGCCCCGCCCACCTGCCGGCCCCCACCCTTTGGCCTCTGCCTCCCAGCAATTTATTTCCTTGCAGCAAACAGCAAAGAGCCCGTTTCAGTTTCAGCACAGACTGATTAGCACAAGCAGCTGATTGTCGGTTGGATTGGCCTCCCGACCCTCAGTTGTTTCAGGCTGCAGGGATTGTCATTGCCTATTGCCACGCGGGCCTACGCTGTTTGCTGCAAGGAGGCAGATTGCTGGGAGGCAGATTTTTTTTTCTTGTGCTAATCAGGCTGTGCTGAAAATGAAACTAAAGCAGGATGTTTGCTGCAAGGAGGCAAATTGCTGGGAGGCAGAGGCAGACTTTTTTCCCCTTGTTTTCCTCCCCAAAAAAGGTAGGTGCATCTTATAGTCCAGAGTGTCTTATACTCTGAAAAATACGGTATTTTCAGAGGATCACAACAAAAAATAGCCTTTCTCCAATTAAATAAGTTATTTGAGCCTGGCCTGTTGTTGGTCCTGTTGGCCACCATCTTCAGCATTGTTCTACTCTTCAAACAAAGCAGAAATGATTCTGTAATCCCAGTTTTATAGAGTATTGCTGCCTCCAAGATACGAGACTGTCTTCTCAAGATGATTTCAGTCCAGAGAAGGGGTTGCCTTTTATTAAAGTAAAACCTCTTTGCCTCAACCTATCTGTTTTTAATGCTGAGATCAGTGTTATTCAATCTCTGCTTTGTGTGTCTATGAGTTGAGTTCATGTAGTCATTGAATTGATGTATAATTCCTTGTATATTGGGAGCAGGTCATCTCCCCGCAGCGGATTCCCGCTACTATAGCTCCATCCCTGCTGATGTCCCCGATGGTATTTAGTCAGACTGCCCCACAGCTGCCAAAACCAAGTGAAAGTGGATGGCTGCCAGTCATGAATCAAGAAAATACTTCTGGATCAGCAAACCTTCTTCTGCCTCTACAGAACTCAGAAGCAACCATCCCAAAGAGCAACCCATTAACCAAGTTACAGCTACAGGAAACACTTCTGCATCTGATCCAGGTAGGACATCCTCAACTCTTAGCCACCTATACCTTCAGTTGATTATGGTGTTTGTACATATGAGATAAAAGATTTGGAGTGAAAGCAAAACTTCGTTGTTATGCATCAGTTGTACCAGGGGTGAAATCCAGCAGGTTCTGACAGGTTCTGGAGAACCGGTAGCGGAAATTTTGAGCAGTTCGGAGAACTGGTAGTGGAAATTTTGAGAATTTCTGCTGGTTTTCTGAATTTTGTTCAGAAAACCAGTAAATATCACCTCTGGCTGGCCCCAGAGTGGGGTAGGAATGGAGATTTTGCAATATCCTTCCCCCTGGAGTGAGGTGGGAATGGAGATTTTGCAGTATCCTTCCCCTGCCACGCCCACCAAGCCACACCACGCCCACCAAGCCACGCCCACAGAACTAGTAGTAAAAAAATTTGGATTTCACCACTGAGTTGTACAATGTAGTCGTTTTATTGCTATTGTAAGATGCTACAATGGAATTACAATGCAGGTATAACGCTGTTAATTGTTCATGCAGAAAATTCTTCATATATTGAAATTGACGGTTGGTTTTGGATAGCCACATATTCCTATTATGTGTTCTATGAGATTAGCTAGAAAACATCATTTGATTGGTCTGTGATTGCTCAATGAGGTTTATAAAAGAGAAGAAGAATTCGGATTTCCCAGCATTATCCTTAGAGTTTCCATTTGGGTATCCAAATTATACTACTTCCCAATGTTTTATTTGAGAACATATTCTCGTGTTTTTTTTAAAAGGTATTTATTTATTAAATTTATATTAAATTTATATTTAAAATTAAATTATACTACTTCCCAATATTTTATTTGAGAACATATTCTCGTGTTTTTTTTAAAAGGTATTTATTTATTAAATTTATATGCTGCTCATCTCATTATCAGGGTAGCTTACAACATGATAAGTTAGGGAGAAAATCACATGAGTTATTTGTCTGATCTTTGTGTGTATATGTCTGTTCTGTGTGTGACTTTTGCCAGGGTTTTTTTTCTTTAGCATTTGTGAATATCTGTATGTATTAATGTTGTTTTCCACGGAGTGTCTATTTAATCTGTTTTCTATGTGTATAAGTTCGTGTGTTTTAGGCCTACCCTATCAGAGCTGCTGACATCCTGATCCCCCAGAGTTTTTTTTTTTTAAATGTGACATTATGATTTCCTTGAGATTCTTTTTTAACTAATGTGTTGTTTGTATTTTCAGAATGACGACAACTTCCTAAACGTCATCTATGATGCTTATCTCGGCAGCGTGAGAAAAGCAGCACTGAAAAAGCCCATCTGAAGCATAACATTTTAATTAAATGTAGCCTGGTTTTCATGTTTGGAACAGCAACAGAACTGAAGAGGTTTTTAACCTCCTGCAAGACTTTAAATTATCTTCATTGGAAGCGTATCTTGTTCGAAGAAATTAGTAAATGGAATTATTAGTGCCTTCCTGATTACAGTGTGAAAACAACATCAAAATAACTTATATTGTGGCTCCTTAAAAAAAAAAGGTGTAGATTCCACAAAAGCCACGGCTTTCATTAAAATAACAAAAACGGTATAATGATGTCATCTGCAAGCTCCTCCCTTTTCATCCGTGCATATATCATGACGCGTGTACCCAAGGCATGGGACTTGTGTTGCATCAGGGCTTTTTTTGCCCTTTGCTTCCCATCTGGATGCCACCTCATTGGCGGTATGCTGGTTTGTATAAAGAGCGATACGATTGTTTGGGTTTTTCCAGGTTTTGTGGGTTTTTAAATGTATAATGGCTATTAATTATGTGGGTACCGAAAGGCCCTGCATGCTTCAAAAACTTATTCAGAGAAGTGCTTCAAACTTCATATGAAGGCAGAAAATACTTGCTATTTTTATTGAAGACATTTTGTTCTTTTCCCAGGCTTCTGCGAGAAAAAAGAAAAAAAAAAGATAACGCTTTAAGTAAACCACTCCTCAGCTCTTAAAGCAGTAGCACCTTTTTTTCTGGCTCGGGCAGAAGTCTGGGAAAAAAAGTGGGGATACTCAATTAATAGAGAGTTGCTGGGTGGCACAAGGTCTGAAGGCTTCTTCTGAATTCTTTTTGGAGTAAGCACATTTTGCTGGGAATGCCTGTTGCTAGAAGTCACAAGTTTTTCTACTTTGAACTATTTAGAAAAAAATAAATATTGAATACATATTTATTTGCCACCAGGTGGCAGGATAGGTCTGTTGTTTTGTTGTATCCACCTTTAAACAGATGATTTCTACAGTAGCATCAGAGAGCTGCGGTTCTCTTTTCTATCAACTGAACTCCCAGCAAGTTGTTCAGAAATCAGCAAAGTGTACTTGATCCTAGATGATCCCAGATGGACTGCGCAGATCTGAAGGGCAGCAAACCATTTAATCAAACTTGAAGTCTTTGATAGCATCCAGCAATTACTTGGATTTTTGTGCCCCAGATCTGTTATCTCGAAGTAAAGATAATGAGTGCATATAGTACAGCAGCCTTGAACTCTAGGCTAGACTCTAAGCAATTCTTTTTGTCATATCACTTCAGTGTTTCATAAAAAGACACCATCTGGCCCTATCTCCTGGAACTTGATAACTTAACTAGAAAGATATTTTCATGTTTTTTAAATGGTGCTCATATCATGAGTTATGACAAAGGAGGGAAGGTTTAGGGCTATCAGATCCAGGCATCAGGAAAGGGGTACAGCAAACCGTCACTGGATTTTTCAGTCCCGATCTGATAGCCATACGAAGATTAGGGTAAGATTTATTACTGTAATAAATTTATATGCCATGATTCCAAGAGGCCATAGATGTTTATTTCTGTTATTCTGTGTTTTATGAGAGCTCACCAGTTGCTAAAGTATCTGAAAGACAGAGTCATTTAAGAGAAATACAACATTCCCATTTAAACTATAGGTTTTTTTAAAGACACCGTTTGGATTATGTCAAGTGCAGTGAAGCCCAAATTTATCTACAAATTATGAAAGACGTAAGATTGTTCTCTTTTTTTAAAAAAAAGAAATTGTAAGTAGGTCTTTTCTATTTTATAATGATTATAAAATTATAACCGTTCAAAAATAAACTTGTGGTTTCCACTATCCCTATTTTGTGATGTATAAAACTGTTGCCTTCCACCTGCATTAAATTATAACTCCAAAAACTTCCCAGCCTCTACAGCCGGGGTGGGGAACCATGGTCCTTTTATGACTTGTGGAGGTCAGTTCCCAGAATTCCTGAGCCGGTCATTCTGGGAATTGACATCCACAAGTCATAAAAGGAATGTACAGGAATGTAAAAGTTGTAGCAAATCTATCCGGAGGAACTGTGAGAAATAGGCCAACACCTGTCTGAAATTCTTTTAAAGGGATGGCTGCATTGTTTTAAATTATTAAAACCAGGACAAAGAATGAATAGTTTCATTTTTTTTATTGTATTGTTCCATGAACAGATGGGCAATGGTTTGGTGATCTATTTGTAAAGAAAATAAAATGAAGAACAAATATTTTTGTGTCATCTCATTTCTGCATTGGGCTTTTTGAGATTTGCCATTTCAAGTATTGAGTTTAGTTTTTTTTAAATATACTGGATATAAATCCAATACCCAAAGGATAAAGTGTTACCCAATTTAATACATAGTTTACTTTTTTTGAAAGGAGGTGTGCCTACAAGTCAGTCTTGTCTCCTGGTAATCTCCTGGACGTCCCTGCAGTTTTCTTGGCAAGATTTTGGAAGTGGTTTGCCCTTCCCTCCTTTCTAGAGCTGGGGGAAAATGACTGGTCCAAGGTCACTAGCTGGGTTGATGCCTAAGGTGGGACTAGAACTCACAGTCTCCCAGTTTCTTGGAGCCTTAACCTTTGCATCAAACTGGGTCTCTAGTTTACTTTAGACATATCTAAAATCTGAAATCAATTATTCATTCTGCTTGTCAGTTGTAAATTATTTACTGAGATGAATGGAAGTTCCCTATTAGGAAAATAAAAGTATTCTCTATGAATAGAGTCACTATTCATGGAGTCATTATTAAGAATAGCTTTTGTTAGTACCAAGACGTTAGAAATTCCACACAGAATTTCTAAGAATGGAAAAATGACAAGAGAAGATTGACAGATGTTCTGTTCCAGAGGGGAACAACCACAACTGAGAAATCCTGGGCACTGCATTTTTGGAAGGTGGTTGAGGTTCAGAGGAGAACCTAAGGAAGAAGCTTAGGAGGAAAGGTGGAAGTCTTAGATAGTTCAGCCTGGGGCAGTAAACATTGCAAACAGGCATGATAGTGTTATGTAGAAGACAGGGCAGAATTATTCATTCCAGAAGACAGAACATGAAACAAAAGTGTTTCAATTGCAAGGAAACAAATTTGGGTTGAGGAGCAAAAAAACAAACCCAAACCCAAAGAATGCTGAAGGTAAGAGGGTCACCACATTGAGCCACATGCTTTTTGATACTTGTAAAAGGTAAACATATGTGCTAGTCGTTCCCGACTCTAGGGGGCGGTGCTCATCTCTGTTTCAAAGCCGAAGAGCCAGCGCTGTCCGAAGACATCTCCGTGGTCGTGGCCGGCATGACTAAACACCAAAGGTGCACGGAATGCTGTTATCTTCCCACCAAAGGTGGTCCCTATTTTTCTACTTGCTTTTTTTACGCGCTTTCGAACTGCTAGTTTGGCAGAAGCGGGGACAAGTAACGGGAACTCACCCTGTTACGTGACACTAGGGATTTGAACCGCTGAACTGCCGACCTTTTGATCGACAAGCTCAGTGTCTTAGCCACTGAGCCACTGCATCCCTTTTAATATTTTAATACAAGCAAATGGAATATATGATTTCTTTTTAATATATTTCATTCTGAGAAATGAGAGCCTGAATTATATCTCAACGCTGGCAATGTTTAAAAACCTCCAACCGAGAATCCACCACCTCCCTAGGCAGTCTACATATATATTGATAAATATTGTCAGTAACTCTCAATTCACTAATTGCTATCAACTTCCCATGAAATTGTTGGTTGAAATGATTAGGAATAGAAAATTCACAGAAACGACAGACCACAGGTTGCTTGCCATTGCTGAATCATCTTATCTTGGACACTGGGCATAACAAAAAGGAAAGTTTATATTATTAGACTTTCAATTATAAATCAGATGATACTTGCCATTGATCAATTCTATCAGCAAGACCCAACAGTGGCCCCATTAAATGATGGTTTCGTGAATAAATCTACTGTTGAAGTAGCATTTATTTATTTATTTATTTATTTACTTACTTACTTACTTACTTACTTACTTACTTACTTACTTACACATTTTAGTTTTATTTATTTATTTATTTATTTATTTATTTATTTATTTATTTATTAGTTTATTTGGAATAATCCAAAAACAAAACTAAATAAATGTAATATTTTTACAACAACCCATAAAATGTAATTTTTTTCTACAGCCTCTTAGATTTAAGAACTCGAAGGTTATTTGGTCTTAATGTGTGCCCATGCAGAAAATTCACTCTTGCAGGATCCTGGATAGTGGCCATATTGCCTCTGCCAAATTTCTCCAAAGAAAGATTATTCTAAGGATTCTGAGAAGTCAGTCCGAATGTCATCAGCTGTTCCTATTCGTGTTTATTTAGGAAACAACCTGCTTCATTTTCTGTTCTCAAAGACATACTTGTAATAATCAACTTTGTTGCCTGCCTCTGAACAAATTCCAGTCTTTTTTTATCTATATTCATGGGCAGCTTCCAAAATTAAAATCCCTTATCTTCATTTTCCTAATCTCAGCACATAGAACACAGAACATTCTTTGCGTAAAAGGAAATAAGTTTAGCTGCCTTGGGAGGAAAGTATTATATCTATAACAAATATTGCATTATGTATTTCCAAAGATTAGAAATGATAAGTCTTACATCAAATAAAAAATCAGTCCTGTGGGTACATTTAGGCTTAAACTTTATCAGATTTATTGTGCTGCAAATTTGCAAAATGAACCAAGATTTACAACCTCTTGCCCTCTGTGGGGAAGATTATCCATTTAGTGATCTCAATGTCAGATTCAAATGTAGATAATATAGATGTATTGCTAATGATTGTTGGCAGCATATCTTCATATGTAAATTTTTGGTTTTTTTTATGTCAAGCTTTGTAACTCAGGTCCTGAGCATCAACATCTGTCAAGTGCGAACACCAGACTGACACGTGTAGACTTCAAACTAGTTACTTTATTGTCTCTGCCTATAATACAGGAATCTCCCAAGACTGGTAGCTTTCATCTGGGAAAGACCAGATAAGGCCCAAACACAATTCAGGTGCTCTCTTGTGTTTTATGTAGTGAGTCTGAACTAATTCTCTGCTTGGACCCCAATTTGGATAATTGGTCTCCAACAACATCTCCATAAAATGTATCGTAAAATATTTATAGATGCAGATGAGGATCAATAGCTTGACAGGAAAGGTGGCTATGGAAATAAAAGAAAATTTATCAGTTTCTACAGTATGACAAAAACAACATAGACACAAAAATCAATAACAGTATATTTTTTGTTGGCCAAGGTATATGTAGTGGTCTACTACATCTAGTTCTTCTCCAG